TAAAGTTTTTACTAGTAAACACTTATAAATTTAGTTAAAATTCTATTAATTTTGTATAAAAAAAATATATAACTTTATTAAAAATAAATATTTACTAGTTTTAAAACAATAATTATATATAAAATTATATTTTAAAAAATTTTGTTTAGAAAATAAAATATATTATCTTAATAAAAAAATAAGTTTACTATATATTAAAGTTAAAAATTCTTATTTAAACTTTTATATTAAAAAATTAGATAATATTTTTTAAATTTTAAATTTATATAACTTTTAATAAATTTATTTATCTTTTTTAATTTTAATAAATTCAAATCATATAGTTAATTTCTACAACTTTTATTAAAAGTTTATAAAATTTATTCAATAAAAAAAATTTTAAATATTGATTAAAAATTAAAAAATACATATAAATTACTAAAAATAGCAATAATTTTCTATTATTGTTACACAATACTTATAATATAAATTATATTTTTTACTATATAATTAATAATAAGCTTTTAATTATAATAAGCCCTAAAGCTTCTTTATATAATAAAACTTTTGTTTTGTAAAACTAATTAGTAAGTTTAAGATTAAAGTTTCTTTAAAAGTGTACTACAGGTAGTACACTGAAATTTACTAAAAATAGTAGTTAAAAATATATATTTTTTTCAATAACTATATTAATAAAATAAAAAGAAATTGTACTAAACTATACTTGTATATTTATCAGATCTTTGTATATAAAAATTTTTTAGATATATAATTTTTTAGATTTTTAAAACTTTTTTTTAACTGTACTACTGGTAGTCTTTAGACCTAAATCCTATTCATTAATATTTAAGGTAAAACTTTGCTTTTATCTTTATTAAACTTAATAAAAACTTTTTACATAATTAAAAAAGGTTTTATATTTTAAGCCTAGTGCTAAGAATAAGAATTCAGACATATAACTAAAAAAAACCTTGTATCTAAGTATAATTAGTAACTTATCTATAGCCTAAACCTATTATAACAAATTTTTTATGTTTTTATTATGCTTTTTTTTAAAAAAAATATTTATACAAATTTATGCAAATTTCATTTTTTTATTTTTATTTGTAAAATTTTATATGAAATACTTTACAATATAATCATTGTTTTATATTAGACATACAGTTATTAAAAGCTGGTTTACAAAGTGATAGAAAAATTGGATAATAAATTGAAAATTGATGCTATTGCTTTTTTGAAAAGATCTATTATATCAAAAAAATATAAAAAATCATATTTTTTTAAAAGTTTTTTTCCTAAACTAATTTTTATTATTTGACTTCTTTTTTTTCAACTCACTTTTTTTTTTGAAATTTTACTTTTTTTTTAGTATAGAAATTACACGAAACTCATTTCTAGTTACTGATTGAGAAATAATCTAGATTATTTCAAAATTTAAAAATGATCTAGATTAATTTAAAATTGACCTAAATTGTGAAATGAATTGGAACAATTGCACTTGACTGCATAAAATATAGTACACAAAAATTAGATAATTGTGTTCAACATCATTTTACAATTTAGATCAATTTTGAATTAATCTAGAACATTCTTAAATTTTCACTGATTTTGAAATAAATTAGATCAATACTTAATGCAACAATGCAAAGTTTAAAAATCTTTTCTATTTTTTGCTAGAGTGTGACTAATCATGGGTGCGACAAATATGCACCTACTGAATATATTTATATAAATATATTAGTCAATACTTATTCATCTTGCTCAATGATTGGTTATGATTACACTCCAACGGCGTCAAAAATTTAATAAGAATTGGAACTCAGAATTATTAATTTATTATACCTCTAATATATAAAAATTAGGACTCAAAATTATTAATTATACTACAAATATATTACATATATATGTCATTTAATTAATACAAAAAAGCGATATTATACTTCAAGTGTATTATATATATGTCTAAAAAATAAATCCTTTTTATTTTCATTATTAATTTATTATTCTTCAAATATATTATATACGTATGTCTAAAAAATTAAATACTTCTTATTTTCATTACAAATATATGTATGTCATTTAATTAATACAAAAATAAAAACCTTTTTTATTTTTTTTATATTTTCTTTTTTTATGATTTTATTTTTTTTCTTTTTGTGTTTTTTTTTTATTTTTTTTAAATCTTTTTTTTTGTTTTTTTTTTTTATATTATTTTTTTTTCTTTTACACCTTTTTTTATTTCTTTAATTTTTTTTGTTTTTTTTCTTTTTACTCTTTTTTTTATTTTTATTTATTTTTTAGTTTTTTTCTTTTTATGCTTTTTTATTTTTTTCATTGGAAATATTTATTTGGTGCAGGGTGCACCGTGTGCCCCCCTATGAAAACTATAAAAAATGAAAACCTAAGAATAATTAGTGTTAGGTTAGGATTAGTGTTAAGGTTAGTGTTAGTGTTCGGGTTAGGGTTTGGGTTAGGTAAAATTGTGAGAGGATCATTTTTTGTTAGTTATACAACAGGGTTACCCTAGTAAAATTTTGAGCAATAGCAAAATTATTGCAAAGGGTGCACACGGTGCAGGGTGCACCAAAAAATAATGCCCTTTTTCATTTTAATAATTTTTTTCTTTTTATTTTTTTCTTTTTATGCTTTTTTTTATTTTTGTTTTTTTTTTATTTTTTGTATTTTTTATTTTTTACTTTTTTTCTCTCTCTTTCCTTTATTTTTTTTATTTTTTCTATTTTTTATTTTTTATTTGTTTTTTTTTTTTATTTTAATTTTTGTTTTACTTATTTATCGTTATTGATTTTTTCCCCTATATATTATTGCTATTTATATTTATGATATAATTAATATTTTTATCTGCTCTACATTTTTAACGATTGAAAAACAACCTAAGTCGTTTCAAAATTTAAAAATGATCTAGGACAATTTAAATTTGACCTAAATTGTGAAATGAATCAGAACAATTGCACGAAATAATAAACGGTATACAGAAAATTGCACGGGAAAGCACATGAACTGTTGCACGGAATTCGCGCCTTTTTACGTGTCCAGTGATATATTCCATATAGTTTTGTATACTCTCGTGTTATCACGTACCCGTGTTTGACCATAAATTCCGTGCACCATTTTTTATAGGGAAGATTAATTTAATTGCTCTTTGTTGAATATTTATTAAATTTAGTGATAAAACGAATGTGTATCCGAATATTTGGATATTCTTGGGATCATGCTGTACTTGAATAAAAGGTTATAAAAAGCTAATAATTTCAATGAGACTTTAAATAATATCGATTAAAAAAGAAAAATAATCAAATAATAGTTTTATTAAAATATATGATAATCTTGTTTACACGTATATTAACACATACGTATTCTGCTATTCATATATTTAAATTATTATAAATAAATTTGTTATTTTCAGCTACAAATTTTAATATATATGTTTCCGACCTACAAAAATTGCTATCTTTTATTACTACTATTTAACTTTTCACAAGAAGACTGATGCCTTCAGTAATAGGACGAGGGGTGAAGCTAAATTTATCGTTATGTAAATTTTTGATGTCTAAATTGACAGATATATAAGCTATGAAATCATCTACAATTGTAGGAACCGGAGCAGTATTATTTTTATATCTTTGTCTCACAGTTAAATCACTAGAAACTTCCCATTTTGTGCCTAAAATTAATAGTGTGAGACGAACATATAGAGTGATAAAGTTGAAGCTTGAACATATAGTGATTAAATTGAAACTTGAACATTAAGTTAAGATAAAAACTTACCAGTAATTTCCTCATACTTTTTAAGCAATTCATTCAATGTTTCGAAATTCCAGTCGGCGGGTCGGATTTTTATTTATTTTTTTTTTAAAAAATTTTTTTTTACTATAAATTAGTAGATTTATGCTTATATTTAAGGCCACGCAAGTTAATTTTTTGCATAACACGGAATCAGAAAATTCGGAAATTTTGTTTTTTTTCTTTTTTTCTTTTTTTTTTTTTTTTAAACAGACCTATCGGATCATTCCGGAAAGTAAGCTCACTATCGGGTGATACCGGATAAACTTTAAATAGCAAAAATGGAATAATTGGACAATTGGAACTTAAAAAAAAAAAAAAAAAAAGTTTTTTGAAAAATTGGGTCGGCGGGTTATGCAAAACGAAAAATTAACTTTGCGTGGCCTTAGTAAAAGTTTCAATATGTGTTTTCTGACAAATTTTGAAGTTGATTAATAATAATTACTAATTTCTGATACTCCGATTAGTAAACTTAAAGAAAACTAAGCTCTAGTAAATGCATTTTATAAGTGGATGAGAAATCTACAGAACTTAAAAAATTTTCCAATTGTTTAATCTTATGATCGTGTTAATCGTTTAATCTCAGTCGACATTAAGTTAATTTTGGCTCATGGCTAGCCCAACAAGTTTTATGCGGTTAGACTGTTTCGATCCTTACTATTACTATTTATTACTGGAAATGGTAAATTACCGAATAAACTATCATAGTTCCCGTTAAGTTCGAAATATTAATAAAAGTATTTACTATAAATGGAAATCGGCCCGAAGATAGCTTAATAATCGATCTACGTAACAACTTATAGCTATAGCTAAATAATCGATATTTCGTTTCAGCTGGATAACTAATATAGCTAGTCTAGCTGATTAATACAGTTGATCGTGATTGATTTATAATATTGTAATCGAATTGCTATCTCTAGAATTTCCTGGATCTATCAATAAAAAAAAAATTATAAATAATTAGAGATCCAATCCGGATAGCGTTTATCCGAATAAAGTTCGAATCGGATACTCGGATAACAGATAGAGGATATCTGTTTACTATTGATATTCGAATAATTATCCGAATATCCGATCTGAATTATCTGGATAATTCAGATACGGATAAACGGATGACGGATTTATCCGGATTGGACCTCTATAAATAATGAAGCTAATGAAACCTTCTACCAGATAACGACGACAACAACAAAACAATTAAAAATATTCAACAATTCATCATGAGCATTTCATCATTCAAAGTTGTAACTATTGCCGGTGCCACTGGTCTTTTAGGTTTCAATATAGCTGATGCTTTTTTGAATGAAGGATCTTATAAAATTAAGATTCTTCGAAAGAAACCTGAATCAGAAAATAAAAATGCCAGTTTGTTAGCTTCCAAAGGTGCTGAAGTTATTTACGTTGATTATAATGACAAGAATGATCTTGTTAAAGCTCTTAAAGGAACTGATGTTATTGTCAGTGCTATAGGCGGTAATGATCTTATGTCCACTCAATGCGCTCTTTTAAACGCCGCAAAGGAAGTTGGTGTAAAAAGATTCATTCCATCTGAATTTGGTAGTGACGTCAAAAGATAATGTATGTTTTAACTATCACAACTTTAGCGTTCCTGATTTAAATTTTCTCCTTTTGGTATTACTTTTATTTTAAAAAATTATTGTTCTTTTTTGGCAATAAAGTGGCGACGTCCATCCATTCCACAAGCCCAAAGTCGAATTTTTTCAAGAATTAGAAAAAAGTGGGATGGAATTTACTATTATCGTTACTGGTTTCTTCTATGAATATCTCGAATCGTTAGGATTCGATCATAAAAACAAGAAAGCCACGTTCTACGCTGATGGTAACACGAAGATAGTCTGCACATCTTTGCCTGACATTGGTAAATATACTGTTGAATCTCTTAAGTTACCTGAAGCCCGTAATGGTACTATTAGAGTTGCTGGATCTGTCCTAACATTGAATGAATTGCTTAAAAAGTATGAGGAAATTACTGGTAAGTTTTCATCTTAACTTAATGTTCAAGTTTCAATTTAATCAAAGTTTCAACTTAATCACTTCTATTTGTTCGTCTCACACTATTAATTTTAGGCACAAAATGGGAAGTTTCCAGTGATTTAACTGTGAGACAAAGATATAAAAATAATACTGCTCCGGTTCCTACAATTGTAGATGATTTAACAGCTTATATATCTGTCAATTTAGACATCAAAAATTTACATAACGATAAGTTTAGCTTCACCCCTCGTCCTATTACTGAAGGCATCAGTCTTCTTGTAAAAAGTTAAATAGTAGTAATAAAATATAACAATTTTTGTAGGTCGGAAACATATATATCAAAATTTGTAGCTGAAAATAACAAAATTATTTATAATAATTTAAATATATGAATAGCAGGATACGTATGTGTTAATATGCGTGTAAACAAGATTATCATATATTTTAATAAAGTTATTATTTAATTATTTTCTTTTTGGCGGCCGATATACAGTACATACCCCCAATTTTGTTATTTGTATCCCATTTTTTTAACTTTAAGAAAGATATCTCGACAACCACTGAGTCAAATTCAATGAACATTTTTATTCGAATTTTAATATTTGTAGAATTTAAATAAAAAAGGTTTACTGAATTTGACTTGGTAGTTGTTGAGATATCTTCGCTCGCTCAAAGTTTGAGAAAAACTTTGGCACAGCTTATTTTGATAGACATTTTAAGTTTTTTTTTTAAAAAAAACTTTGAGCGAAGATATCTTGACAATCACCAAGTCAAATTCGATGAACATTTTTCTATTTGAATTCTATATTTTCATAGAATCAAATAAAAAAAATTTATCGAATTTGACTTCGCTTAAAGGTTGAGAAAATTTTGGCGCGTGATAGACGTTTTGAGTTTTTTAAAACTTTGAGCAAAGATATCTCGACGACCACCAAGGAAAATTCGACAAACATTTTTTTATTTGAATTCTATATATTTGTAGGATTCAAATTATCAAGATATCCTCGCTCAAAGTTTTAAGAAAACTCAAAACATCTATCAAAATAAAGCTGTGCCAAATTTTTTCTTAAACTTTGAGCGAAGATAGCTTGACATCCACCAAGTCAAATTCGATAAAGTTTTTTTTTTATTTGAATTCTTCAAATATATAGAATTGAAATAAAAAATATTCATCGAATTTGATTCAGTGGTTGTCAAGATATCATTGCTCAAAGATTTAAAAAACTCAAAACGTCTATCAAAATAAAGCTGCGCCAAAATTTTCTCAAACTTTGAGCAAAGATATCTCGACAAATACAATTCAAATGCGATGAATATTTTGTTATTTAGATTCTATGAACATATATAATTCAAATAAAAAAAACTTTGTCGATTTTGGCTTGATTATTGCCGAGATATCATCGCTCAAAGTTTTCTCAAAACGTCTACAAAATAAAGCTGTGCCAAAGTTTTTCTCAAACTTTGAGCGAAGTATTTCAACAACCACCAAGTCAAATTCAATAACTTTTTTTTATTTGAATTCTACAAATATTAGAATTTGAATAAAAATTGTTTATCGAATTTAACTCAGTGGTTGTTGAGATATCATTTCTTAAAGTTAAATAAAATGGTGTATTAATAACAAAATTGGGGTATGTATATCGGCCGCCTTCTTTTTTAATCAATATTATTTAAAGTCTCATTGAAATCAATATTTAATATAGTACTAGCTTTTTATAACCTTTTATTCAAGTATAGCCTGATATCCAAATATTCATTAAATTTAATAAATATTCAACAAGGAGCAATTAAATTAATCTTTTTAACAACCTATAAAAATTAAAGCTAAACGATGAACTACCACTAATCTGTATTATTTCACCAACAATCACTTCATAGACAGTTTAGTTTATCTGTAGAAATTATATTTCACCAGCTCCTCATTTACAGTTTCACAGACAAGCTTTTTTTATAGTTTACACTGATGTGGAATCTAATTCTAAACCTAACCCTAACGACAATGACTAGAGATACTTTGTGAAATGAGCTGTTAGTAAAATAAATTGTTTATGAAATGAGCTTGTCTGTGAATTAATCGTCTATAAAATAGCTTTTTCTGTAAATTAATTATCTGTAAACTAAGTTGCCGTAAAGTAATAGTTAGTAAGTTGATCAGAATCGAATTTATTTACCCACCTAAATAACACAAACTAACTAACTACTACTTACTTATTAAATTAACTGCGCATCGCATAAACAACTCCCCTAGTGATATACTTTACCCTGTTTTCAATGTAAAATTCACATTCTTGCTCGATAAAATTTTAGTACACATTTATCTAAAAAAAAAAAAAAGGAGCTTACTAAAACGCACCTATGGTGTTTTACACCTACGTATATGTTTTCTCAAAAACTGGCTAATTAATCGGCATGAAGTATTCTAAGTTAAAATGTTCTATGCCCTAAAAACCTTTCCCAAACCAAACGTTAATTCTAATACTAACCTTAACATGAAAAATTTTGTATTAAAAATTTTATATACGAAACTTATAAAACATAGAAAAATATAAGAAAATATATAATAAGTATAAAACACCATATGTGTGCTTTATAATAATGGTTTATTATTAACTGCTAAGTGTTATTTATTAATAAAACCTTTTATTTGGAACGTTCTAATTAATTTACAAATGGATCCCTTCTAAATATATTACGATGTTTAATGTAAAAGAAATAAAATGTATAGAATGTTTTGTTTAATTGTAGATTGACCATGAAATCCTGAAAATTTAAAAGCCTTTTTTATTTATATCTCTTATTGCCCACCTAGCTATAGCTAGGTGTCTAAATTATCTCCTAATAATGACTATATCAATTAAATGATTAACGATGTTAATTGAATCTTTTTAGATTAGATTCTATTTTTGTGAAATTTGTCAGCCCCACAATAGTTAACAAGATTGATAGTAAATTTGTCAGCCCCACAATAGTTAACAAGATTGATAGTAAATTTGTCTTTATTACACCTATCTGCTTTTCGTAGAATAAAAACCAATAATATTATTTAACTGATACATAATAAATATATGCATTGTTTAGCTCCAGCTGCAATTTTGCGTTTAACTGCTATAATGTCTCTCATAACTAGGGTGTAAGTTACACTGTAACTTATAGTGTACTAAAGTTGGCCGAATCATGTGACAATTTTTACCAGCATTAATTAAATTTATAAGTAATTTACGTCAGTTAAAATAAAACCTACTTTAGTAAAATACAGTAAATTAACAACAATAGTGAAATATGATAGTTGAAAGCGAATAAAAAAAGTATCAGTACAATATTTATGATAATCTCTTATTAAATGAATCCCGTTGGTACTTTAAGCATTTAGTTTCTATTAATACAATTCTGTAAAAATAAAGACTACAGCCATGGCCATCATAAAATAAATATGATCCAAATTGTAACACCCATCAAAGAGTGTGGGGACAATAGTCAGAATATTAGTAAAGATTAGCTGTTGGTATAAGATGGTTGATTGCGAATACTATGCGTTATTTTGTGACTTACATGGAATTTGTAGAAGAATCTCCCATCTTTTAAATAAATGTATGATAATCAAATCTCATTTAGAGATTTCGAAGTGTCTCATAGCATCAATCGCCCAAATTTGTTAGTAACATGTTGACAACCATAAAGGGCTTAACTATCATTTTTGATCCGTTGACTGTATGTCAACTCTGGTTAGAGCTCCATGATACCAATGATAATAAATATAGAAAGCGGCCAAATATTTGCAGATATTGTATATTAGGAAATCACGAATTAGTCAAAAAATCTCTTTTTTAATTTACTTTTAATGTCCTTAATATGCTCCATGATTGGATTGTAGTTGACGATGTCTCCATTTGACAACCTACCTACTTCAATTATATTCCAATTGTCTATAATAAAATAATAATAAATATATATATATATGAAAAAGTAAAAACTTATAGAGTTTAAAATTTAACACCAAAAAACTTACCATGCGATCGATTAATAAGACACATTATAACAGCTTGTGATTTATCAGCTCTACGTAAATTATAATTACATAGCTGTTTATTCGGTCTCTCTTCGTCATATAATTTAAAGCTTGGATTTTGAAAATTACTAATTGTTAAAGATTTAAAAGAACTCAAGATTAAATAAAGCTGCGTAACATCCTTAGGAAGAGTATCAAGTTTAGCTGTAATTTTTTGATGTCCTGTAGTTGTGAATGATAATTAAATTACATAAAATAAAAATATTAAAATGTAATATGAAAGTAATATGAAGTATATTTCTTTAACATAAATATATTTCTTTAACACTAGAACAAACCATTGTTACGATTCATAATATCTCCAGAATGCTTGATATATGGTATTTCAGCATGATACAAATGTAGACAATCATATGTTTTCCATAAATTATCACCTTTATATATCAAACAGGTACCATCTAGATAGTCTTCTCCTGAATCGGGATAACCCCAATATGAATCAAATGCTAAGTTTTTTACAGCTTCCTTCTCAGAGATAGAATAAAGTACGACGATAAGTTGAATATGACTATTTGCGCAAATCCCATAACTTGCGAGTGTATCGTCAAGCCTGTAATCCTGCATAAAAAAAATAACAATTACCGTATTCCTCCGAAAATAAGCACCCCTTTTTTGCTATAAGGGTGCTTATTTTCGGGTATAAACTCAACTAATAATTTGAATGATTTGATATTTAGTTACTTATTTCTAATATATAAGAGGTGCTTATTTTCGGGTATATATGAATTGTAGGGGGTGCTTACTTTCGGGGGTGCTTATTTTCGGAGGAATACGGTAATGATTGAAATTACAAAAATCTTTAATAAAGAATATAGTAGATAAAAATAAAATGTGCACCCTGAGCTCCATGTTTTTATGAAATAACATTTGTCTATCAGTATCTATCTTGGTATAGTTCATCAATCTATATTTTAACTCTTGAACTGTATCGATTTCAGAGACTTTAAATTCAAACTTTTCACCATTTAATCGAACAACATAAAAAATTTCAGAATTTGAACTATCTTGTCCAGGAAGTTCAGTAAGTCCTTGTGAGATACTTTCGAGATTAATTTTAAAGCTAGCATTGTCCCAAAGCAAGCAATAATCATTAAATTCTTGTTCAGTTAATTCAGCTTCACATATGGGACATTGATACTGCGTTTCTTTCAGATATTTTACAAGACACTAATAAAAAAGATAAATATAAAGAATATGTTTATACATATTATAATTAAAGCTATTACTGTATTATACCTTTAAACACCAAGATGTAATGTGTTCACATTTTGAACTAATTGTACCAAATGGAAATTCTTCTGAAAGTTTATCAACTTGGCACTTTTTACATATCATTGTTAAACGTGCTAGAATTGTTTTAACCTTGTATAAATTAAGGTTATGTTACTTAGTTTATTTATATCAGAATATAGAAAGTTATAAATAACAATTATAACTATAGGGTTTTAATTGTCAATTATATACAGATATATGTACCCGGAGTAAAGTATCCGATAGATGATTAATAATTTTCAATACGCATCTCTAAAATTAATACCAAAAAAATTCTGTCCCACATTTATTCTTTTTTTGTAAAATGACCAAATTTAGAGTTTAGAGAAAGGACGGGCAGAGACTATATAATTAAGCGCTATTAAATCGGTTCTACAGGAACCAGTACTGACCGGAACGGATTGATCTATCTATATTCAATGATCATTGTTTTGAAAAATTATTTAATGCTAATTTAACATTAACTGTTGGTACCACTATTCGCCCATAGATGTCATAACGCAATATAATAAAAAAGTGATATAATTGAGATAGTTGGTGTGAATCGCAAAAATCTATGGTGCGCGTAGTAATTCTCCTTAGGGAATACAAGAGTCAAAAAAAAAATAAATCATACTCCTGGTTTAAGAAGCATGAAAAAAAAAACTATGCTATTAAAAAAATTAAAAAATAAAAAAAAGATTTACTATAATTATCAAACAAATACAGCCTATTATGTGGTTCGATATACAGATTACAATTACTCTTTTTATTCAATGCTTTACTATGATCAGTCTATAAAAATAAATCAATTATTTTAAGGTACTTTTTATATGATAAAATTATAAAGTATTATTTTATGATTACATACGTAATAGCATTTATGCAATAAAAAAAATTCAAATAAAATAAAAATAATTTTTAAGTAATACTATATAAATTTAATAGATTATAATTTCAAAATATTAATCTTTAATATTTGCTGAATTTTCGCGTTTTATGATTTTCTAAAAAATTTGACAATTTATAAAATTAATTATTAGAAAAAAAGATTTATATTAATTACCACATAGAATTATACCTTGATGATTATGAAATACTTCCCTGTATTTTAGTTTCTATTTTTATTATAGGTATTAACCATAAAATTTTGTATAAGCATCGTTATTATACTAATTTATCAAACAACTTAATTTCACATACATACCATGAAACTTCTGCATTCCTAATTGATTTGATACATAACTGTCAATTATTTGATTTTGATTATATCCTAAACTTTTTGAAGATAACAATAACGATAATAATGTAAAAAGAGTGAAGTACTTGAACAATTGCTTTTTCTAATCAATCAATGAAAAACTTCGAAAACTCTAGTAAAAAAAGGATGTCCGGGCCTCTATCTTTGTTGATTGGAACGATAAATCGGTCAAACGAACTTCCGCTAATAAAATTTTCCTTTCTGACGTATTAAACATTTCGTTACGTGTTTTATTCATTGGAACAATCCAATACTATTGATTCATTAAACTATTTTTTACTAATAAAAATTTACCCTCATACCCGTTTCGATAATGTGCTTGAGAACACCCTAAAACCCATACAAATTAAAGATATATAGGGTGTAGTTTCAGTTTACGAAAGAAAAAACGATTGTTAATAGTATTTGGTATTATTGTTATAATCCAATATATTGATTTATGTTGATAAAAGAGAAACCTTATACCTGCCCTATACGTGTTGGCGCGGAATGGCACGGGTTTTGGTGGAACGGATCAAGCCCGGATCTTGTACAGTACGTAAGAGGCTCGAATTGGTACGGATTTTTGGCTCGTATTGGCCCGTATACCAGTGCCAATTGGACCGTTAATGACACGGGTTTTTGCAACACTTTACTAGTCCAATTGGCACGGGTTTTGGTACGGGTGTACGTAGATTCACGAACCACTAAATTTCAAATATACATAATAAAACATAAATTAATCATCAAAGTAATTGCATATGTTTAAAATTCTGCAAGGAATTTTTTTCCAGAACAATTTTATCGGTGAAATTTTGAGATATTGTGCTTCTTTTAACTCTTCCCTCCTCTTTTATCTCTTTTTTTACCCATCTCATTTTCTCCCCTTCTTTTTTTTATGCTTTTTTTTTAAAAAAAAAACGTTTACTGATCCTTCGCCCTTGAGATACGTGCATATACGTATCATTAAATACGTGCCATTCTGTAAGACGTGACAAAACGTGCCACCACTTTACGTAAATGTCCGTACCATGTTTAGCCGTGCCATCACGTAAAATGAGCCTCTACGTGCCATACATCCGTACCATTTCGTGCATTCACGAAACCAACCCGAGCCACAACCTGGACCACTTTACTTATAGGGCTATAAATATGAATCCATTTGACTTTAATCACTCATTATTTGGTCACAATCGAAGCTAAATTGGTTCAAGATCCATAAAGCTCTCCCCCGATCGTAACAATGGATTAGTGGTGGTAAAAACATTCCTCGACCCAATGATTTCCGAGCAAAATATATCCAACAAAAACCTAGAATATAACACATAAAATTAAGCTAAAACTTTTTCTGCGAATTCTCAAATTTCTCATAATCCACGAACTTTAAAAATTGCTCAGAAGTCACGGGGCGAGGATCGTTTTTTGCCACCATTAATCCACCTTTGACGGTATAAAAAGTTCTCAAGACTTATAATTATGAACATATGGGCTGCCGTCAATAGAAATAAGGCAGATTGACATTTTTAAAAAAATCAATACCTTAACTTTCACAGCCAATATCTCGATAGATTTTGATGCTGTCTTAATGATTCATTATTCAAAAGAAAGCATACGATCCAAGCTTTCTTTTGAATATTAAATCATCAATATAGTCTTAAGATTCATCGAGATATGAGATGTGAAAGTTAAGGCATTAATTTTTTTTAAAATGTCAATCTGCTTTATTTCTATTGACGGCAGCCCATATTAATATTATTATCAAATGAATATCATTTGATAGAATACAGTATTAATAAAATTGACATAAGCACGTAGTGCAACCTAGCGCTTGTGGCTTTTCAGTAAGGTAACTTCATCTCATCTATTATATCTAATTACGTAACTGAAGCCACCCACACGTGCAATTTCTAGTTACTAAATTGAGAAACAATGGACTTAATCTGAGGCTTTGAACAAAGAATGTCTGACAAATTAAGAAAAAATAATTTTTTTTTGAATTTCTAATAGGACTGTACTACCAAACAAATCCTTAAATAACCAGTTTGGGACCCAATCCAAAAGGTCCCATTATTCAAATGAAGTATATCACTATAATAATAATATTACACCTATAAAAGCGTATGCGTTAATTGTTTTAAAACAAAAATTTTTTTTCAGTGGCTTTCAATACCAAATTTTCTATATTGTTTCATTATTGTTAAAAAGTTAAAAATCATTTACCACTATGTTAGTTCATGTAAGTGTTTATTATTTTTTATTTTGACGATATATAATCTTATTATTAATTTCTTTAATGTAATGAATATTAGTCACAATGTATAATCGCAATTGGTAAAACTGGCACGGGAAAAAGTTTTACAGGAAATGTTTTTGGTGCACGAGGTGTAAAAGTCGAAAATTCATCACGTTCAGGAACAAAAGAAGTTACTATTTATGATATTGAAGATGGTAATTTCTATGTCGATACACCAGGATTTGATGATTCTGATGAAAGCAAGAACGATGATGAAACCACGCGCTTAATTTTTCGAGCTCTTTTGGATAAAGGAATTGACCATATAACGACAATCTTATGGTTTGTAATGACTGATATCAGAGCCACAGCATCGTTCAAAAGAGAGGCAAGGTTTATAGAATCGCTTGCACGTGATCATGATGGAAATATTTGGGACAATACTATTATCGTTACTAAAGGAGAAAAAATTGAAAATGGTCCTCGGGAAGCTGCCAAAGAAGTAGCTAAAAATGAATACTTGATGAAAAAAAAGTGTAATCAATTACCAGATAATAAAAATGATTTGCTTGAAAACACTAGTAATTTTGCGATTCGGTTGTTTGAAAGCTTGGATAGTACAAGTATTTATGTCGAAAATAATTTTGCAAGTGATATATTAAACAAATATAATATTTTTAAAGAAAATGAACCTGATCGAATTCTCTCAAAGTATGAGGTACTAATGAAGGAACATCCCAAGCATCCGATTAAGATTAATTTTAGAAAAGCCAAATGTTTGAAGTGTCCTGAAGAAACTGATCCAAGGCTAGCAATTCCAGAATGTCATTTGGAAGGAGAGTCATTTCATCCAGTTACAATTGAAATTCATCTATATAAAACTATACGTGAACACTCAAACAATCTTGAAAAATATCATTCTGGCTCCATACAAAACTATCATCCTGACCCACATGAGTTTATGCACACTGGCAAGCCTAATGATACCATGATAATTGATAAACCTTTCGAAAATTTTGTTCGTGGCGTTACATTTGCGATTATTAATCCTATGATTCCCGGACACTGGAGTTGTTGTGGAAAAGAATTGAATACACCCGGATGTAAGCAAGTTTATTCATGTTGCAAAAAAGATAATGATGGGTGTTGCAAAAAGTATGTGTGTTGTGATGATAGAGATCTTAATAGTGGTGGATGCCAAAAACGATACCGTTGCTGCAATGGATCATCCACAAGTGAAGGATGTCAATACATTTATGACGTTTGCAAGCATAAAGCTGGCGAAAATCCTTGTAGTACAGTTTGCAAAGAATGTAATCAAACATTAGACAAGAAGGGCTGTAAAACAAGATGTAGAAATTGTAAAGAGCCCCAAACCAGCAAAGGATGTGTTAAAGTAGGGCATAATTTTAATGTATCTTAATTTTATAGCTTTTCATCATTGTATTTTTTTTTTTTTTTTTTGAGATAAACCGCCCATTTTGAAGTATTTAGAAATATCGCGATAATATGTGGGTAATTTTTTTTAAGATGATAAGGCTAAATCAATTATTATTTTCTTGCAACGCCAATTAATACTTGAAGTAGTATAGTTGGAATTTTTTCTATTTTTGTACTATTCTTTTTTTTTTTTTTGATATGGATATGAATTAATTCGTTTAACTGCTACATTTAATAAAGTTGAATTAAATATAGGACTTTCTCTTTAAAATAAGTAAATATAACATTATATTTTTGCATTGAGTAATTCATTAGCCATTTTTATAAGGATAGCATCCGAGTTTCCAATTTACACTATAGGTGATATTATTATAAATGCATTACTACAACCTACAACTAGCGTAATAGGTTTAAATGTTCCAAATCTCATTGCACTTTTGCACTCCTGAATTTTAAATCATAATCCATTTTCTTAATAAAAACAAAAAAAAAAAACCAATAAATAAAATTAATGAAAGAAAAAGAGTAAACAAACAAAAAACAAATACAGCCAGACTCAGTTATATCTCCACTAAACTATATTCCAATCTAAGTTATATACATATCACTTAATAGAATAAATGTCTTATATTCATTAAATTCATACCCAATGCTCTTTGGATAAAAGGAATAATGAACGAATAATAAAAAAGGATAAACAAAATGAATGAATAATAAATTTTTGTTTTTCTCTAATTTTTTATATTTTTTTTTAAACGACTATTCTTCTTTAATATTAGTAACTTTTCTTCAACGAATATAAAAGGATAATCTCGGATTGTATTAGCTATTATATTAACCCATAATATACAGTATGTCAAACTTTCAGAAAAAACTTTGACTACTATCATATTCCCGAAAGTTTGCATAGATAACAAAGATCTTATTTTGATATTAAAAAATATCAGCCAGATAATATCTACACCTTCATGACTTGGTACTTTATGAGAATGGAGACCTTAAAACTTTAAAGATGCTTTAGTCATTCTATAGAGTTTTAGTTTTTTTTTGGTTGTATATCGATGATAGCATGTGTAGAGTTTGTTAAATTACCCGGATAACCGGATAATTTAATAATACTCGGGCAGAGATTTTCTTGACATGTACAATCTCTAAACATGTATTTGAAAACATGCAACTATTCATTAAATTTAGATAAAATAACAAGTGACTTTATATGAATGTCTGATTAGAGCTGCATTAGTTATTAAATAACAATATGTTAAATCGTTTTCGAGTTGAATCGGCATGTACGAACAATAAATGTATTGTTAAACCGAACTCGGACAACTTAATCCAACAATCAATCGAGAGAGGCATATTATATTGGCGAGTGGACAATTCAAGGCTTTGGGTTGTCAACAGTTTTCAACACCTGGGTACTCCTTTTACAATAACCACAGATATCCCCAGTACGTTGAGACAACAACCACTGCAATCTCGGTATGTCGAGAAAACAGCCGGAAAGTTATATTTTGAGATGTGAGGGTAACAAAGCAATTGATTATTATTTATTAAACATCAAAATTATCTACAGTAAGACCTATTTATATAGTAAAAGATTCATTATTACAAGCAAACAGTATAAATGCCTTAAATCTAATGTACCATATAGCCAATTTATCTAATAAATTCAATAGGGTCATTCTAAGCCGCAGTTGGTGGGCGGATTCCGATATGAAGATCCTTTTAAATTTAAAAGTTTTTTTTGAAATATTTCTCGATGAATATTTAACTAACTTCAATGAATTCTTTTTTTATTTATTTTACTTCTATAAATATTTTAAAAAAAATTTCATCAAATTTGGTTAAATAGTCGTGGAGAAAAATTTGCTTAAAGGTTTAACAAAGTTTGAAAATCGAAAAAAAAGCATATTATAAACTTCTTTTTTCAGCTTTAAGCAAAGATTTCTCAACAGCTATCTGATCAAATCTGATGAAATTTTTTATTTTAATTCTACATGCTTGTAGTATTAAAATAAAAACATTTATCGAATTTAATTGGGTAGTCACTTAGAAATATTTTGAAAAAAATTTACCTCGGCATCTTTTTTGTAGGTATTAAAGCTTAACACAAAGTTTTCTCGATGATTATCCAACCAAATTCGATGAAATTTTTTTTATTTTAATTCTATCGACCTTTAGAATTAAAAAAAAAAAAAAAAAAACTTCATTAAATTTAGTTTAAAAAATAGCTATTGAGAAACTTCGTGTAAAGGTTTAGTACCTACAAAAAAGAAGATGCGGTAAATTTTTTTCAAAACTTCAAATGAATATTTCTCAGTAACTATCTATCCAAGTTCAATAAAATTTTTTATATTTTCAATTCTACATACATACATAAAGAATTAAAATAAAAAAATATTCATTGAATTTGGTTATTTAATCATCGAGAAAACTTGTGTTAAGCTTTAATACCTACAAAAAAGATGCCTAGGTAAATTTTTTTCAAAACTTTAAATGAATATTTCTGTGACTACCTAATTAAAATTTAATAAAATTTATATTTATTTTAATTATACAAAATGTAGAATTAAAATAAAAAAATTCATTAAATTTGTTCATATAACCGTTGAGAAATCTTTGCTTAAAGTTGAAAAAAGGACGTTTTTACTATGGTTTTTGCTTTTTTTTCCTTTCAAACTTTTTTTAACCCTTTAAGCGATGTTTATCCTAACCAAATTCGATGAAATATTTTTTGTTTTGATGTTAAATATTTGTAGAATTAAAATAAAAAAATAATAATTTACTGAATTTAATTAAATATTCATTGAGAAATATTTCTGCTCTGCGTCATTTCACATTTAAGTCAATTACAAATTGCCCAAAATCATTTTTAAAATTTGAAATGACGTACGTTATTTCTTAATCGGTTAAAACATAAATTTATACGACCAGATAATAAAATATTAATTTTAAATATCCTTTTGCATGAATAAATAAGCCATAAAAAATTTACACAAAATTTTACATATAAAATTAAATAAATGTAACAAAAATGAAATGCTTTATAAAACTTAAATAAAAAAAAATTACGTATCATAAAAAATAAAAATAAAGCACAATAAAGGCATATAAAAAATTCGTATAACTAAAAATTACATAAATCTAAAAAAAATCTCATCGATTTTGCATTCACCATGTAGAACACATTCATATTGTCATGTACATAATAAGTTATTTTTTCAGTAGAAATCTTAAAATAATATCTCATATGAATCTTTTTTATGTTATTAAAAAGAAAAGTAAGTATCTAATTATAAAACAAATTAAAACAAAACAAAAAGCCTTTTGCCAGGTTTTGTCTTGACCAGCACGTTCTGTTGCTTGTGTGTGGCACGAATTATCTCATAAAAATTTTTCAATTGAACAAACTTGCGCCCCAGGTTATTTTCAGTTGGCTTAATTATGAGGTTCTTTAGTCATACCAACATAAGAATTTTAAAATTATGTCACCCAATATTTAAAATTTGGGGTTTGTAAATTGTTTGTACATCAAACATTGATTATATCCATTAAGCTATGTTTGTTTTTCAATTGACGAATAAAATTTCTAATATTCGATCAAAGGTTTCATGCACCAGGAAGTTGCATTGTTCCATTTTTAAAATTAATAAGAAAGATTTATTTAAAATTAAACATTCAAAGACTTTATTTATTTTTTCTTTTATATTAAATAATATGGCATACGTAATACATTTCTAGCATAATAAATTAATAAGTGATTCCGAGTTCTAATTTTTATTAAATTTGAGATAAAGCTCTTCCATTTGCCGCTGGGCGTGACCAATTATCCTATGTGACAAATTAGTACCAACATTAAGAATTGACCCAAGTCATTTCTAAATCGGTCTGATTTAAATTGTGAAACGACGCTGAACATTGTTTTTCTTCCAACTAAGAATCCTATTATCAGTCGATCGAGATATCACGCAGATCAGGTGAATAAATTTTTTACTATGAAATTTGAGTGATTGACACTCATATAAGAAATCTGATTTTCATAGTAAATTACAACGGTTAGCTATTTTCAATCATTGTTTTCAGGGGTTTCCTAAAAGGAAATTACACTCACAAGATGTAGGAGTGTTCAGAAAGTTAAATATTATGTGATGGGTAAGTTTAAAATGAGATAAAGAAGTAAAACCAAAAGAATCTTGCT